GGCGGGGGGACAGCGGGGGGAGCGGACCCCTACCTGCTTGTTGGCCAGCACAACCAGGGGCAGCCGCGGCTCCTCGGCCAGCAGCGCGTGCAGCTCCTCGCGTGCTGTAACCAGGCGCGACCTGTCCACCGAGTCCACCACAAACACCAGCACGTGGGCCTGGCTCAGGTAGTGCGGCCAGTAGGAGCGCAGGTTCTGGTTGCCACCCACTGTGGGGAGAGAGGCAGGCTCAAGTGCCCAGGGAAAACGGGGAGCCAGGGGCTCTCGCGGGGCTGGCGAGCAGCCCTGGCACAGCACCCCCAGCCTGCTGCGCTAGGCAGGCGGCTTCACGGGGCTTGCAGGGACAAGGTAAGCATTTGGGGGGGCAGAGGGAGGGCCAGGCCAGCCGTACCCTCCAGCAGCTCCACCTCCAGCCCCTCCATGCACAGCCGGGCAGATCTGAAGCCCTGCGTGGGCGCCATGGTGTCCTTCGCTGTCTTGCTGCAGATGTAGTGCAGGACGCTGCTCTTCCCTGCTCCGTCCAGCCCCAGCACCAGCACCTGCCTCCAGTCCAGCTGCAGCACAGGACAGTGTGGGGCTGGGCAGGGGCCAGCCCCGTATTCGGGAGCCCCCAGCCCCATGCTGGTGCAGCAGGAGGTTCAGAGCCCAGCCTGCAGCCAGGGGTTCTGCCAGCCTCCAGAAGTATCTGCACCCTCTTTTCCCATACTAATGGGATCCCAGGGCTTTCCAAACCCTGGGCTCTCTTCCTCCCCCGGACAGGCTTGGGGAGGATTGCGGCAGGATCCCAGGGATAGTGACACCCCGCACCCTTTTCTCCACCTCATGAGCTGCAGGGGCGATTCCCCCTTCCCTGACACGACGGGCTACAAAAGGGCCCAGGGGAGGACCCGGCGGAAGGTCCCAGCAGGATTCAGACCCTAAGCCCCTTCCCCGGCCTGATGGGCTCTAGGGGGCACCCTGGCGATCCTGGCTCGGTACTTCCTTCCCCGGCGGATGGGCTCGGAAGGGGATCCGGGTGTTGATCCCAACCCTACCCTCTGCCCCGGCCCCCTGTGCTCTGGGAGGGATCCCGATGCGGGGCAGGGATCCCGCGGGGGACCCAGGCGTTGCCCCCCTGATGATCTCAGCGACGGGAGCCCCACTCCGCGCCCCTCCAGCTGCTCGGTGGCGTCGGGGAAAAGGGTCCCCGT